AAGTAGTTCATCATTTTCTCACCTGGTTTTTCTCTCAGAGGTGAAATCCTGAAGCTAAACTCCTTCATGTCTCCTCGAGTTTTAACTTGACATCTGAATAACTCAGAACGTTTTGATGTGGAAACATGAGGAGAAGTTGTGAAGCTCACAGTGTCTGAACAGGCAGACTGAGGAGGAGTTATGGTTTTGATATTTTCATCATCTTTGTTATCATACAGCCACTTCACTGAGTGAGAACATCCACCAAATGATGATACAGAGCAGATCAGGATGGTTTCATCACTGATCTTCTGTTCAGTCACTGAGGAAGATATTGATACAGTAACAACATTAATGCTGACTTCATCACTTCAGTTGTAGTGATACTGTATCATTGTCTATTGCAGTAAAAATATTTTTAAGTGAAAACATAATGATATAAATACTCACTGTTAATAACAGACAGATCAGCCTCAGATTCTGCTACTTTTTGTCCTGATGATTTAAACTGTCTGCAGACATAAAGACCAACATCCTCCACTGAGATCTTCTTTATAACCAGTGAACAGTCTGATGTAACACTCAGTCTGTCTGATTTAGTTCTGGAATCTTTATGAATCTTCCCACATTCAAACAGTGTTATTGTATTTCTTTGACCAGTGAATATCCAGGTAGTTTTATCACAAGTTTCCATCTGGTTTCTAAAACATTCAGCAGGCAGAGAGACTTCATCTCCATCTCTGACAACAAAGTCAGACCAGATTATATCTGCTGCTGCTGAGGAGATGAAAGTAAATCAGGTACAGCTTCAGTTAATGTTACAATAATGGACATAAAGTGATTAATATTCACCTTAAAAAGATATAGTCACAACTTTGCACACATTGATTTTTATAAAATCAGTTGACCTACACAAACAGTTCATTTACTGCAACAATATTCTTACCTGTAAAGTTTAGCATAAAGAAGAAAAACATTATAATCCATCTGAGTTCGGCCATCGTGTGTCTCTTGTTCTCAGTCTTCTAGTTGTGTGACTGACTGGTAGAGATGCAGCATCTACTTCCTCTGAACCGCATGATGTCACTTCCTCAAACTGACGGACGGTATTTTTCTATGTCCAAAGTATCTAATCTAGTTTGGACATGGTGTAGAGGTAATCCATCTTGTCAGGATTCAGTAGCAGCTGAATCCTGTCATGTTATGTTTTAAAAGAAACAGCTTTTAAAATCAACATCTCGCCTTTTTAAACAGGAAAATATTTGATCAGTAAATGTTCAGAGAAAAGCAGCAGGATGAGATCATCATGGTTTCTGACAGAGAGGTGTTGAAGAGAGGAAGATGATGAAGGTGTGAAGACTTTAAATATAAATATGGGAATTTCC